TTCCTAGGGGCACCAGATTGAAGATGGCATGTCAAACGCCTCGTCAGCTTGGTCGACGTCATACCTATGTACTTACATTGAAGGTTACATCCTTCGTGGGGGCAAGTGTACATGTATACAACGCTTGACTGCTGTAGAGGGTTCTCCGTCGGCTTCGGGCTGTTTTTGATAAGGAGTTCGGAAGTCTTCTTGGTTTTGAAGACTTCTTGGTCAAGAAGACTTCCGAACTCCTTATCAAAAACAGCCCGAAGCCGACGGAGAACCCTCTACAGCAGTCAAGCGTTGTATACATGTACACTTGCCCCCACGAAGGATGTAACCTTCAATGTAAGTACATAGGTATGACGTCGACCAAGCTGACGAGGCGTTTGACATGCCATCTTCAATCTGGTGCCCCTAGGAATCACATGAGACAAGCCCATGACATTACTCTAACAAGAGAAATGTTGAACAAGAATACTTGCATAATAGACAAAACCCAAGATTCAAGAAGATTACAAATTCTTGAGGCAATTCACATAAGAATAGAGCGACCTACCATGAACACCCAAATCACGGAACTATTTACTCTACCCACCATGAGAGTAAGGACAAGACAAGAACATATCGATGCCAACACAGAAGACAATGTCCAACATAACAGGCCAATTACACTGGATTAATCTTTGTGTTTAGATAGGAGATGCCTCGTATGGGCCAATAAGCCTTCTGCAGCCCCTATCAAATTATACAAATAAGTGTAATACACTCTATAGTAAATCACTTCTTTTCTTCACCTTAAAAGTACGAAAATGAGTTTTGGAGAACTCCTATTCCAATTAAGCCCTGATGCTAAGAAAATAGTTAGAGGGATAGAAGCCCTAAACCAGAAAATAATAAATACAGAATATGCGGTCATATTCAATGAAATATATATATATATATATATATATATATAATATCCATTTACGCTCGAGATGTCTATCGAGAGCCGCGCATGGGCAATAAGGAAGGAAGACGAGAGAACGTGACCAGCCACAGCAAGAGTCGGACGCCATTGACAGCGTGCTGCAGAGACTACGTTTCGATCGTACTTATTTTCGCTCCTACGACCAGTAGAGCGGTGCCACGTTATCTGGCATATTATAGCCGTGTCCCAGACTAGTATATCTGCAATTCCATAGTCAACTCCTTTCACGCAGCAGCTGGAGGACGAAGGATTGCTCAGCTCTCTACATCAACGGACACGCGGCTCGGCAGCTAGGTTCACCTGTTATCATGTGGCCACAATTAACATTTGGGCTAGTTGTCGTTAGGCCGTATATAAAATAATAAAACCCCGTACGTATCTTTAGTAATTTTACAATCTAAATAGATGATTATTTTTATTATTTCTGCAGAAGAAATTTACAGTACTTGAATATAAATTGCACAGATATTGGCTGAAGATTTCTACAGTTATCCTTATAATGTAGGATGTATTTGTAGTTACCTATTATGTAGAAGATTTCTACAATGTAATTGCCTTCCAGTTGTAAGTCGACGTCAACCGAGGTGCTAGGCTTCCCCACCTTCACTTGCAACAATTTGCCCTATGCAACACGTCATCGGTTGAGCGTGGCAACCGATTACACCTCTCTTGATTTACAGCTAAGCTGTCCCTTTTTTATCTGTAGCAATAACTCTGTAGTTACATTAGTGAGCTCCCAAAGAGATCAATTATATTAACCCGTTGATTTATATCTACTGTACTATTGTATCCAGTAGTATATTGAGGTGCATTTACCTCTAATTAATATTATATAATCAACCTTGTTTACTTTCATAATTTATTTACTCTGGTGAAGAACCAGCACCAGAATAATGCTAGGAATGTATTAACCTTTTAGCATGTAACCCCCCAATTTTGTGCAGGTTAATTTGACTCCATTTATATAAGAAATACAGTTTCACTAAGATCCATAGGACACTAGTTCTTGGGATCAGTTTAATCCATTGTCTCATTTTGTTTTCCACTTTTCCTCAAAAAGTGGTGGTCCTTCATAGCTATTGAAGTATTTATTTAATTACAAGTTATTGGAGTCAGGTTAACCCCCTCCACAACACGGGTGGTCGTCAGACCTACACGGGTGGTCGTCAGACCTACACGGGTGGTCGTCAACCCTACACGGGTGGTCGTCAACCCTACACGGGTGGTCGTCAGCCCTACACGGGTGGTCGTCAGCCATACACGGGTGGTCGTCAGACCAACACGGGTGGTCGTCAGACCTACACGGGTGGTCGTCAACCCTACACGGGTGGTCGTCAGCCTTACACGGGTGGTCGTCAGACCTACACGGGTGGTCGTGAGACCTACACGGGTGATCGTCAGACCTACACGGGTGGTCGTCAGACCTACACGGGTGGTCGTCAACCCTACACGGGTGGTCGTCAGACCTACACGGGTGGTCGTCAGACCTACACGGGTGGTCGTCAGACCTACACGGGTGATCATCAGCTAACCACGTCATCATCTTATTAGCTCTCCAATCATTAGTGACATCTCAAACTTTTCAGGAAAGATTATGATTTTATATCTATGGCTTTCGGGTTTTAAAAATCATTTTTAGAACATAAGAAAATCCTGTATGATGTAACTTTTAATGTTTTCTGGAATACCTTTTGTATATATTTTAAAGAATATGTATTGATGATTTTGTTATATTTTATTGTTAATGAAGCCTTTCAACAGATAAGTGGCTTTACCAGATATTAACGTTATAAGGGCAATAATATTCCTGCCTTAAACCTAACACACTGAATAGTGTTCATGATCATTAATGTTCAGTTTTGATTGATGAAAATTATGCCACCGCAAGACGTGGCAGGGGCATGAGTAGCCCGTAGGTGGTAGATGTTTGGAGTGAATGTGATCTGGTGGTGTAACATCTTGAAGTGTCCCTGGGACCTGGGGCGAGGAATGCTCAGTAGCTGTGCACATACAAACCCCACACTGCAGGTGAGGTGAACTCTGCAGGCAGTGCCAATAAGGGGGGTATTAATAACAATTCTGAACTTTTGTGTGAATGGTGAACATCGCTCTTGAATATGTAGTCCAAAATGTTACAAAAACACCAATTTAGGCTACATTTGAGACTAGGCAGGACAGTATCGTGACAATAATATATTTCCTCTAATGCAGCCTGCTGTTTTCTTTTTCAAGGATATTCCTGCGCGGGCCCTAAGCCTCTGGCTGGCCCACTAAGTGTTGCTTGTTTCTGTTTTACTTGGGTGGAGTATGAATATTTATGACTCGTATGGTCGCTTCAGTAAGATTTTGTCCCACGTGTTTAACAACTTCTTCTGCTCTGTTGAATCCAAGTTGAAATCTTAATGGATTTGTATCGCTGCGCTGTGTTACATAATGTTCCAGTGGTTTGTCTGGCATTTCTCCACAATGCTGACATTTCCTCTCATCTTCCGGAACCTGTAAGCCTATTTCCCATGCACATGGGTATCCAAGCCTGATGCGATGTAAGTGTACGTCTGTTTCTCTACTGCTCCCTTTCATCAAACTAAGTGGTCCGTAGTTGGTTGAATTCTTGTACCAACCCGCAGATCCTGTTGTTGTAACTGCTGTGTTCTGGTGACTGTACATCTTTTGCATTGTCCATTGTAGTTCTCTAGCAACATAAACAGCGCCTCTGTCCTTTCGGTAGAACGTGAGTTTTCAGACGCCGTTAATTTGGTCAGAAATGGTTGGCTGAAGTACGCAACAGAACTAACGAAAGACCACCATTAGCATCAATCGATGACTAAACTCTTTTGATAATTTCTTGGCACAACTACAACTCAGATTTTATGAAGCAAGGAATTAAACCTTACAAAACTGGCACAGTAGACCTGATACGACCTGATGTCAACTCCCCACATGTCTGCGTCTCCAGAAGATGTCAATATGTTGTGGATGAACGGCAGTGGAAGAAGACAGGTGGTACACAGCTTTACTTCTTTAGATAATCCATCACGACCTAAGAAAGAATGTATTGCTTATAGCTTTCAAGAATAATATCACAAGCTGGACAAACCAGCGGATATATTTGATGATGACTACAAAGTGGCACCATACACCGTATGAGTGATGCACAGTCGGGTAAATCAGCTACGATAAAGACCCGAGCCAGATTCACGAAGCAGTTACATACGTACTTACGATTGTTTTTCTTCTTAGCATCTTCATAGCGGCAACGTCGGTAATCAGTTAGGCATTTAAGAAGAAAAATCTTCGTTAGCACACTGCCTCAAACTAAGGACTCTCTGGACCACTCATAGCTTAACGTAAACTGGATATAATTCAATTTTTCTCTACTACACAACATGGAGAATCGATTTTCTTATAAACAAACAATTTAGCTGGCGAGTCTCCTTCGTGTTAACTATATATGCATTCTCTGCTTGAAATTTGTAGTAAATATGTCTTTTATGATATTAGAATTAGTTTTATAATAGCAAGATATTATACCAGTAATTATTAAGTAAATAAACACTGATGAACATGAAAATATGAGAGGTGATGATCCCGGGTTAGTGGGAGCATTTCTATCACCAAATACCCCTGTTCACCTAGTAATAAGAATAGCTAAGGGGTGTAACTTTGCTATACATACCCATTTTTAGTTTATTTTGTTTGGTGTTTTTTTTTTAAATTTAAATCTGGGTGAGACATCAAAGAAAAATATCCTTCACAAATGATATTAGGTAAGGAGAAGGGGTAAAAACTTCAAAAACTTAAATAACTACACTCATTGAACACTTAAACTTATAATTATGAATATATGGACTATTATGGCCTGTTAAAAGAAAGAGGGGGAAGTAGGGGTCCAAGACCTCTTCCTGTTTCACAATTTGGCTGTGTAACAATCAGTAAGTAATTATCAAAAGAAGGCGCCAAGCCGGGAACGCTATGTAGCACCATTGTGTGTAACAATAAACCAAATTTTTTAACAGTCTGTCTGTCTGCACCTGTGAGTAAAACAAATCCTGTCAGGTGTAAAAATATTGATTCAGTTATTTAAATAAAAAAAAAATACAGTGCAGCAAATATGTATGGGTTCTTTAAACTATCAATTGTACGGTAAATGCAAAGAATTGAAAAATTGAGACAATGAACGCTTTAATGAATATGACTATTACATATCAACAAGAGATCTTAAATTAATGATCCATGGTTAACATGATTTAATAAAGATAATACTTGTAAGAATACAAACTATAATTTAAAATCTTTATTACTGATAAGTTTTATGAAAAAAATTAGGTATACACAGCAATGTGCTGCTACCCTATTTTATATGAAAGATTACACTGTGTAGATAAAAAAAAACTAGCTATAAGTTCGTCTAATACTGTACTCCCATCTCACAGGATGGTTAGTCATACTTGGAATCAGGGGAGAAAATACCAGCCTCAATACAAAAAAACAAATCAACTCTGACTAAACAACAACTTCAAGATTTTCATAAGAGGTAAACACTGAATCATATAACATTATATTATAATTATTCTTACCAGTTTCTGCAAGACTCCCCTCAAGCAATTTTTTTTTCTAACAAGCTTAGGTATACACAGCAATGTGCTGCTTCCCTATTCTGTATGAAGGACCACACAGTGTAGATCAAAAACCAGCTACAAGCTCGTCCAACATCCCCACCTCACAAGACGGCCAGTCATACATGGAATCAGGAGACAACAAGAAATGTAAGGCTGATCTATTAGCCAACACTGGCAAAATCTGGGTGCAGCACAAGAATATCTTCCAATACTCCGGAGTCTATGAAGTAATTACAGAGCTCAAAGTACCTTATACCATTTGGTATGAAGTCACTGATAACAGGGCAATCACAGATATAGTATTGGAGAGTATGTCCTCTCAAGTATACAAACCCCACACTGGTTTTTTTCACCCAGAGGGTTATAAACCCATGGAACCACCTACCCTCTGAAGCCGTAAATGCCAAAATCCAGCTAGAAAATATCATTAGGAGAATTGTCGGGACTTAATAAGCCCCCGGCTTTCTGTCCTCGTCGCGTCCACTAGATAGTTAGTGGTCCTTAGGAAAATTTAGGTAAATATATACATAAATAAATATCATCGCTTCTCAAATCTTAGGAGAGATAAGAAAAGCTATACACTATCTCTTAGAATTACGTAGGTAAACAAAAAACGTAACATATTTGTTTACTACAATGTGCCGAAATATACTAATTTTATAAGAAAGTTCGACGTAAATAAGAGGCATGTGATCACGAATAAACTCCGATGTGCCAGCATCGTGATTGGCTACAGCTGTAAGACGGAAAATGTTACCTTCTCTCTGATTGGCAAAACTAAGACCCTAGTGACATCTAGCGAGACCTAAGTCAATTACTTAAAAATCTTCGTAAGTACACTTTTATGAATCGAACTTTGGCACGTACTTAGGAACCTTCGTAGCACACATACCTACAAAGAAATACATAGAGCTTCGCGAATCTAGTTCCCGGAAGTTACCAAAGACGTGGTCAGCTGTGTATCAACACACATAACAAAGCAAATATCGTCCTCCAACAACTAAGCTCCAGAACTTCAGATACTTAACGATACAGAGAAGTACAGGACTGGCACCAAAGGTAAAGTGTGGGTGGATTAGTGTGTTGGTAGGGTGTAGGTGGGTAGGGTGTAGGTGGGTAGGGTGTCGGTGGGTTGGGTGTCGGTGGGTAGGGTGTCGGTGGGTAGGGTGTAGGTGGGTAGGGTGTCGGTGGGTAGGGTGTAGGTGGGTAGGGTGTCGGTGGGTAGGGTGTCGGTGGGTAGGATGTATGGGTAGGGTGTCGGTGGGTAGGGTGTCGGTGGGTAGGGTGTAGGTGGGTAGGGTGTCGGTGGGTAGGGTGTCGGTGGGTAGGATGTATGGGTAGGGTGTCGGTGGGTAGGGTGTCGGTGGGTAGGGTGTAGGTGGGTAGGGTGTCGGTGGGTAGGGTGTAGGTGGGTAGGGTGTAGGTGGGTAGGGTGTCGGTGGGTAGGGTGTAGGTGGGTAGGGTGTCGGTGGGTAGGGTGTCGGTGGGTAGGGTGTAGGTGGGTAGGGTGTCGGTGGGTAGGGTGTAGGTGGGTAGGGTGTAGGTGGGTAGGGTGTAGGTGGGTAGGGTGTCGGTGGGTAGGGTGTAGGTGGGTAGGGTGTAGGTGGGTAGGGTGTAGGTGGGTAGGGTGTCGGTGGGTAGGGTGTCGGTGGGTAGGGTGTAGGTGGGTAGGGTGTCGGTGGGTAGGGTGTAGGTGGGTAGGGTGTAGGTGGGTAGGGTGTCGGTGGGTAGGGTGTAGGTGGGTAGGGTGTCGGTGGGTAGGGTGTCGGTGGGTAGGGTGTAGGTGGGTAGGGTGTCGGGGTGTCGGTAGGGTGTCGGTGGGTAGGGTGTCGGTGGGTAGGGTGTCGGTGGGGTGTAGGGTGTAGGTGGGTAGGGGTGTGTCGGTGGGTAGGGTGTAGTCGGTGGGTAGGGTGTAGGTGGGTAGGGTGTAGG